GCGGCCGTCTCTCAGCAAACACGCTGCCTGGCCGTTTGCTGTAGAAACAGCGAGGTTAGCGACGTGCAGCGGTAGTCCTTGGGTCACTTCCGTAACACAGGCTTTATGTGTAAGCCTGTAACGCTAGAGCATTTGTTGGAACCGGTATGCGTTTGGCAGTTCTCTTTCACGAATAAGGAAAAACAACCCCAAATACAAGGTCTCTTTGCTAACTTTTCAGTTGTGCTTTTCTCTATTGAATTAACTGTATTTGATTTCTGTGGGCTTCAGACACATTATCTCTAGACATGTGTCATGGAACTGAGCTGTGGTTTGAATTAAAGAGGAAATAACAGAAATAAACGGCACTGATCTACTGAGAGAACGTGTAAGGGAAGAATTCTGCAACTGGAGTTTTTCATGAGGTAGAAAATTACACACGTTACGTCTGGTATATCCAGACCGAGCAAGTTAGATTTCCCAAATCATTTTAATATTATTTGGGTGTACTTGGAGAAGTAAACTTAAGGGAAAATCATATGTTAAAGTGCTGCTGAACTTTGTACGCAGATTTCCTGGTTTTGCTACAGCCATGCTGTAATAAAATACTCTTTTAATAAAGACTTTTGTAGTAGAATTTTATAAATCCCTGATTTTGTAGATTTTGCAAACTCAGGGTTTTTTAGGGTACTTCATGAATTTGTTTCGTATTAGAACCAGAGAACAAAAATCCACTTAAAAACATAAAGAGAAAATAGTAAATGATGGTTTTAAGTAACATAGACTTGTATAAAATACTGTAATTGCTGACTGGTTTTTTTTACGCCGTGTTTTTGCTTAGGAAGGTATTTTCCTATGATACTGTTGTATAATAAAGATACACACTTTCCTTGAAAAGTATGGATTCAGCTGGAAAAAAAAATGGGTTTTAGAGTTTTTTTTTCTTGCTGAGACCAGTTTTGTGTCTTTGCCCTTCAGTTCCATGATTTTGCCGAGACTTGTGGTAAAATCCTATGAAGCTTGGAATATTTATGTTGACTCCCAGAGCTCCTGCCCAGTCTGAATTAATGACTGATTTTCATGTATTTTTTTTTTACCAGTGCAAGTTTTTCTTGTGTAATACAACTTTTTCTCAAATTTGTGATGGATGGATTATATGTTGAAAAACTGATTTAGTGCTAATCGTTAAACATCCTTAGGTTTAATTTTTTTCAGCAGTGCCCACCCCTCATCACTGTAGTAGTGTTTCTAGACCAAATTACAAGTCTGTTTCTATGCACATAGGATGCCAGTGCTTTTGAAAAGAAAATATGTTGCGTATTACTCTTGTTATGTAGTAACACAAAATTTACATTTCATGGGAACTTGGCTGTGAATGCCTGCCAGGTGTGTTTATTCAATGTGCATGTGGTTGCTTCCAAAGCTTGTGCACCATATAAACTAGAGGAGAAGACAAGTTCAGCGTGCTGTATCAAAATAAAAAAACCTCTGATTGTCTGAAAGATCGAGAAATTTTTATTCAAATATGTAGAGCATTGGTGCTTGACAGTTGCTGCTTCACATTGTGGTTTAGGTTCTTGGCAGCTTGGCACTGTGCTTAGGTAATGTCCCACACCAGATGCTAAAAAATGGAGCTTCCTTACGTATATTAGATTTCTACTGAAGTCCTTTTTGGCTGCATTCATTATCTGGGTAGACGTAGACCATTTAGGAAGTTTGAGAAGACAAAGAAGGTATGGAAACATAGAGAAGACTGAAGAATGCTTAGTTGTAAAGAGAAGTTTAAATGCTTTTTGTAACATAATAATCACATGTAGCAACATCATCTGAAAACAAAAGGAGAATTCAAAATGAAATATTGTTGATTCTATATTGTGCAACATGTCTGCTGAGTTGGCATCAGTGCAGAGGTATAAAGGGCTAGTCCGTTGGAGGCTGCTCATTAATAGCGTTTTAGCCGTTTTTGCAGATCTCTACGTAATGTAAATCTATATATCTTAGTGAGTCATGGAAGGGAGACAATTAGAGGCAAAAAAATAATAAAACCAAGCTTGCAGGCTATGTGAAAAGCATGCTTGTTAAAATTGTGTGTAAATTGAGTATGTTTTAATATCTTCCAAATGCATATTATTGCAAGGTTTATATAAGTACCTGGGGAGAAGGAGGCTGTGATTCCATACTGCTACTTGCGGGTCTAGAATGGTTTTTTCATACTGGGTCATGTTTAACTACAGCTATATGGGTTGAACTGTCAAACCACCAAGAATAATCTTGTGGCTGTTAACAGCAGCCATAAAATCATTAACTAGTTCAGTTACCTTTGTGGGGATTTATGCTGCCATTTGGTGCAGAAGAGCTAGCAGTATGCTGCTCTTTGTTCTGCCTGTCCAAGTTTCCTGCTACTGTGGGAGATAACCTGCAAGTCTGAGGTAAACTGTAACCATAATAAATATTTGGGTGTTTTCTCCCCTTTTGTTCCTGCTACATCAGTTGCTTACTAAATTGCACTTATATGCCTTAGCCAAGTGTGGTAAGATCTAAATGGCAACAAATGTGAAACATGTTTTCTGAGTTAAAAGAACATATTAAAGGTGGTTTAAAAATGTTAATTATTAATAACCCTGATTGGTTAATAAGCTTGGAAGTCTTACAGTAGGATATGTAGAACACTAACCTTAATCAGCTTACTGGCTATAAGTAAATTGCTTTTTTTTTTGTCTTTTAAAGGAAATTCGACATAAATCCAGTGACTACCCTCATAGAGTTGCAAAATACCCAGAAAACAGAAATCGAAACAGATACAGAGATGTTAGTCCATGTAAGTATCTCTTCTGTAGTTATTGCAGTAAACTTTCTGGACTTTTTATTTACCTAGTTTACTTTTAAACACTATAGCTAATAAATCATGGTCACTGTAGGTTAGGTATTTTGTTTGTTTCTGTAGACATGTGTCCTGTGATAAATGTGTTTTTTGTAATGCAAACACAAAAGTATATAACAGAAGAGAGAAAAGTCTGTTGGTTTAGCTCAGTGTGCTGAATTGTGAGAGGTGCTTGTAAGTCATAGTTACTAGTATATAGGTAAATGTGAGCTGCAAAGTAATATTTTAAAGATATTTTTCTCGTAAGGAAATTACTTGTTTGAAACTGCTTTGTCATAAAAAATCAACATCTGCTGAGCGCAGAAATTAAGTTAATAAGCCTCAACTAATACAATTTTCTGCAGATATATAAGATTGTGTTGATAAATGCCATTTAATTTCTACTGTTACTTTAAAAAAGACTTAATATTTTGTTATTTTTGTCTGGTTTGAATAATGTATGCATGAAGTTGTTCTTTAATTTTCTCAGTGCAAGGAGATATAGTATGAAGTGCTTTGTGTTTTACTAACTGTCTTTGTGACATGTTGATCTCGTATCTCAGGTGAAGAAAACTTTTTCCACCAGCTTCTTTGCTACTGAGATGTTGTGGACTTTGTTTCAACAGTGTATGCTTTAGAAACTGTATTCCAAAATGGTTATAAAAAGACATGTGAGCAAAAGATGACCGATATGTAGTTGTAGCTGGAGAAAGCTATCATAAATCCCTTTCAAAAATACTAGGAAAAATACATAGTACAGCCTATATTTTTCTGCAAAATATTGAAAGTGGAACAGTTTAAATGTTTGTGTGTTCTTAATACAAAGTTTCCCAGAACACCAAAGGCTCATAAAAACCTTCTTGTTACTGGATTTAGAATTTTTGCAGGGTTGCTGGTGTATTGGGCCTTTTTGTTTGAAAGCCTAATCTGAATACCTATTGTAAGATTTGGAGAAGTGCTGAACTCCTTGTTTCCAGTTGAAAGCTGTGGTAACAGCATGTGCATAGCACTTCTCAAAATTACACGGAAAGGGTCTCGGATTGAGTCACGCTGGTCAGATGCAGCGCCGAGTGCTGCTCGTTAGCCTGCTGCCAGCACACTGCGAACTCGCACGGTGCTTTTGCACCAAACGCATCCAGGTTGGCTTAATGCTGAATCGCAGTACTGCGCTCTGATGAGTCCCTTGCACAGCCTCTTTCTTGTGTCAGAGTGGCTCCAACCAGGACACCCGGTGTGGTCTGAGAAATGTACAGCTCTGAAGAAGGTATCTCCAATTAGCTGAGGCTTCCTAACTTCTGCTCTGTGCTCAGTGAAGAGAGAAGGGCCTCTGCTGGACCTTCATTGATCTGTGCAGAGAGGTACTTAACGTGTCCCGGGGTTGCTGTCCGGTTACTGCACAGCATTAGCATTTTACAGGTGGTAAAGCAGATCATGTTTTATTCACTTTCAGTTTCATACCTAAATTGGGATGGGGGTTGTAAGAAGAGAAGGCAGGAAATCGGATTTGAACTCATGCAACCCAAGTTCTACTCCTGGGACTAATACCCTATGTGACTTTGGTAGCAGATGCTATATTCATGCATTTGATGAGGCACTGCCACAAAGAGATTGGTAGCTTACCTTCAACATAATTGTGTTTTTTCTTTCTTTTTAAAACCAGCATTTCTAAAATAAATATATATATTGGGTTACTTCATTAGCATCTACTAATGCCTGCAGTAATATCTTAAAATGTGTGAGTTGCATTGAACTCCTGTAGCTTTTTGGAGCTCAAAATTTTCCTTAATTATGACATAGCTTTTGCAATAATAAAGAGCACCAAACACCTCTGTCTTGGTCATGGCAAAGCCTGCTTCTGACATGCTCGTTTAGCCCGGAGGAAATTAATTGATTGTTTCAATCCTTGGACCATGTGCAAGAGCAGGGAGACAGTCAGATAAAATCTGCTCTTGAAGTAGTAGTTGGGTTCAGGAAAAGGTTAGAGTCATTCTGTGCTAGCTTACATGAAGTATAACGTGATGACTGAACTAAGATAGTGAACTTCGAGGCTTGTATCAGTTTTTTGCATTTATGAAAGTAAAAAGCTTTGAATTGGGCCACTGAGGTAGCCTGCATAACCAGGGAGTAGAAGAAAGGCTGCATGAGGAGAAGAGAACAAAACACTGTTTGAACCAGTTCCTGTTGAATTTTACATCTATGTGTTTTGAGCTATGACTCCTAACTGTTTCTGTAATGATTGTGAGAGTTGGGGGGACAAAGAGACCTGGAAGGGAATATATGATAAACAGCATTCCAAGATAGCAGTACCTAAATTTCAAAGCAACTGCAGTAAAAGTGGTGTGGTTTGGTCACTGTGGTGAACACATGTAATCGTGGTGCAGGTATGCAAGGAGCTGGCATTGCAGAAATGCAAGACAGCTCAGTCTTACACAATCGTAATATCTCAATCCTTCACTTTGCAAATTTTACTGCTCTTTAACAGTGGTTACATGAAAAACAGGTGATAGTACTGATATTCTCTCATAGTCAGTGGCCTTCAGAACTAGTAGTTAAGCTTCTAAGATATAGCTGTTTAAAAATATTGTAAGACATTAAGGCATAATCTGATGAAAATGTTTTATTTCTCCTTAACAGTGAGAAAATGGTTTGTTGATCTAGATAGCGGCCAAGCCAGTCTACAATCTGAGGTGGTATGTCTGCAAGAGGAAATGCAACGATTATTCAATTTTACAGAAAAGGTGTTAGTTACAAGTGCAAGAAAAAATGCTTTGGGTTGGTTTGCCCTATTTCAACTGTAATATGCAGGGCAGGTGCACTGAAACCAATTTGTGTCTGTGACATACATTTCCAGATAAAAGCTCATTTCTATTGGCTGGAAAAGGCTAATCATCTTTGCCCATTACAGCCAAGTTTCACATTGTCTTTGGTTTCATAAATATTTTTGTTAGCGTCCAGTTTTGTTGGCTAAAGAGCTATGGTGTATATAAGTTTGGTTGGGTAAAAGCCCTGAAGAGTTACTGCCTTGCCAAAAAAAATAGCAATCTAGCAGTTTGGTATTAGTTTAGAATAGGGAGAGAAATATTTTGTCTATGCAGTACTATTGAAACAGGAAGTTAATCTGAAATAGGTTTGGTTTGACAGCCAGTCATTTCCTGGCAGATGAAACCATTTCTCAGAAAACATTGGTAAGAGAGGAAAATAACTTGTGAGGTTATTATTTTTTATTGATAGCCTTAATGAAACTCTAAGATTTGTATTACTACTTTCCTTCTAAATCTTATCCTCAGTTGATATCAGAGTACTGTAGTGTCTCGGATTGACTGTAAACACCTTTAGAGATATGCTTACTGTGTTCCCAGATTTAGAGGCCAGAAGGAAATCCCCTCAGCAAAATTGGCAGGATTGTTTTTTTCCTTTTGCTTTTGGAGGGTAGATGGGGGTTTACGCAGTTTTAACTTTAAGCCTTCCTTTGTAATGTGATGCGTAGTCCAGTATCTTAGGTGAACTGAACGTTTTTGCCTGATGTTGCTATTGGAGGATCTTGAGAGGTGGTGATTTCTCTTGTTTTCTTCGTGTGGCCTTTCAACTCTACAGTTACAGTTGCCTCAGAGTATCTACTTAGGGGAGGAAGAGGGTTGTGCTTTGCAGGGAACAGAGTTGGAGCTGATCTGGATGGGTTTGCATATAGTGCTGATTAATTATCATTGCAAAAATGTTCCTTTTCTGTTCTGTGTTTTGAGTGTATGTGCTGAGAACAGGGAGATGTTCTGTCCAAAATAAGCCTCCTGCACTTCTTGTTGTCCCTATTAAAAGCTGACATTGATGACTGTTATGACGTGATCTAATGATATCTAAAACATCTTGTTACCAGAAACATGGTATAAATAAACTCAGCATGCTGCTTTTGGAGATCTTCTTTCTTTGGGGTTGGAGAAGAGGGGAATTTTATAGCACATACTGATCTGAACTTCATTATATCGTGTTTTTTTTCACGATCCTGCTTAAAAGTGTAAGGATCATGTGCAGTAGTTTTGTATCATGTGCAGCCTGTATTTCAGTATGAATACATTTCAGTTATGAGCTAGGCTGTGATTGATATAATGGCACTCATTGTGTACAACCACTTGACAGAGTGAGAAAAAGTCACTTTGCCTTTCCTTTCCTTTTGGCTACCTCTGAAACTTGATACTGGAAGTCCAGGGGCAGTGTATTGTAATTTGAATAATTTAGCAGCTTGGATAAATTAGATTTAGATTAGGGAAGTTAAGGGGATTTGCTGATAGGCAGGAAAGGGTCAGACTAGGTCGTCAGGGTGGCTTATGGCTACATGTTTTATTTATGACTTTCTTTAATCCACTAAGCAGCATTTCACCCTCCTTTCTTGTTAATAGGTTTGTATTTGGGGAGACAGAGACATCTCTTGGATAAAGGATAATTTTTAAGTTATACGATGATTTAACTTCTAGAAACACATTTATTTATTTTTAAATGGAAACATTAATCAGCTGCAAGAATTGTATGATGTAAAATGCCAAATGCTTTGCCACCTCGGTTTTAACTGGATATGTCATTTTCATTTTAGTGGGCAAATTGATGTGTAACGTGAAGTCTTGGCCTTATCTGAGGCACAGGGAGTGCTGTCAGTGATATCAGCAGGACAAGGTTTCACTTGAAGTTGGTAGTAAGAGTTTGCGTATGAGAAGCATTTTTAAGGTTTCCACTTCCTTTTCAGGCTCTATTGTTTATTGAAATAGGGGAATTAGCACTTTAGAAAAGGAGCACTGTATTTTAGCTGTTGTGGGCATGGCAACATTTAAGATAACGTTTAAGATAGGTTTATCATTCATATAAATCTAAAGTACTTTGTAAGTGGAAATAATTTACGGGAAATATGTTACAGCTAACTCACTGACAAAAGTTGGCTTGCTTTATTGAATTCAGGAGAGCAAGCCAGGGCCTGAATGAGGTTTCTAGGTCATTCCGTCCTTCAGGAACCTCTTCCCTTGAAAGAAGGGAAATCAATATATTCTAGTGGCTTTCTTTGTCCTCTGGAGTATATGCCTGTGTATTTGTAGGATAGCCTCTGTTTTGGTTGGGGCAGAGGAGAGAGGCTGTCTGTGCATGGAATTAGTTGTTAAAGGGGCTTTAAAAAAAACCTTCCAGAAATTTGCATGTTTAAAAAACAGAATTTATAAGAAAGAAAAGAGAAGGCTGAAAATGTGCGTAAGCATTGCAGTAGGAAAGCTCATTAGGGCCTCAGCAGTTATCTCCTACTGGCAGCAACGCAGCAGCTGCTGCTGGGTGATTAAACTGTTAACAGCGCTTGCTTACATCATCTTTCCGAGAACACTAGTACCGGTATGTGTGATTTACTATAACAAGATCTTAAGTTTTTCCTGTTGGCAAATGGCATGTAATATTTACAAAGGTCTTGGTTTCTTTCCAGTAGAAACATTTCAGATAAAGTGATACATGAAAGGAAAAAGTAACGCTTCCCTATCCAGATGAAATAATACAAGGAGATAAATTTCATTTTAAAATGCACACGTGTTTCAATTTTACTGTGTCTTGGCTTGATAATTTTTTTTTAAATTCATACACTTGTATCACAAATTGTTTTAAAACTCCTGAAAGTCAAGATGGTGTTGCCTTACAACTGGAATGCTGATGAAAACAGACTAACCCAGTAACTTTCTCATAATTTTAAATTAAAAATAGATTTTCAGCATATTTCTATTCTCTGCAAATTTGTATGTGACTGCATATAAAAGATAGCAGCTAAAGGAGGTAGAATAACAACTCCAAATCTCAGTCCTTCAAAAAAAAAAAAATTTGCTATTGACTTCTTTCCTTGAATCCAGTAAGATCCCCTTTGGCAGTCACCAATAGCAAATAGTTGAGGGAGAATATAAAAGCAGGTCATGACCTAGTAAATGTTCTTTTCTAAGGTTTCTAAGCATATGGAAAGTATTTATAAAATCATGTGAGCAGTCCATAGAACAAGAGTCTAATTCAGTAACTGTTTTTTTGATTCCCGTCAGATTTTTGCCCATCTGGTGTCATATTTATGAATTTTGTAGATAAACTTCATGCTATGTATAGGGACTTTGAATCTGAGTTTAGTTATCATAGCAGCACTGAATGGGATACTTGGTAGATGCTCATGTCAAAGGTCATGGATTTTGTGCATTTCCAAAGACGTTCGTGAGAAGGAAGTTAGCCTTTTGGTACGGTGGTGGCAGAGGGAGAAGGAGGCTGACATTTTAACAGCAGCTGTGCCATCAGTCTGCACCCTGAATGAGTTTTATGGGTTGGACCAGGTGAACATAGGTTAAAAATTGGCATTGTACCCTAATTCACTCACAGAGGTCAGTTTCTTTATGGAACCTCTTCCATCTCTTCCCAAAATGTGTTCAAGCCTCTTAAATTCATTTTAATTTGCTATTTTTTATTTACTCTTCTTATAATCAGTCTGTCTAGGCAGTTGAGCTTCAGAGGCTCCACAGTTAGTTGGGTCTAATTTCCTGGCAGTTATGTACAAATTTTAAACTAAAAATACTATATATATTTAATACAGTTCTAATAAATGGCTGGAGCATTACTTATTGTGAACAAGTTTGAATACCTAAGTGTCTTCTAGAGGATGATAAATCAAATTCTGAAAGGTTCTAGGAACAGCTAGAGTGACTTTTCACTATGCAGTGTTTTAGTATGACAATCTGATAATTTTTCTTGTGTTAATGTTAGAATTTTAAATAGAGTCTTTGGCTTGCCTCTGCCATAAATAGGGGAATCTCGTGTCTTGCTTGTGTGATTGTGAGGGACTGAAACTGTGTGATTAGATTAGGCTTAATTTAATTTGAAGATTTATTAAATAGGTACATTTTTGCATGTGCCCTTTCTTTAGTGTTTTTAATTGTATAGTATTAAACAATAAATTACTGGGAAAATAAAATTGATCAAAGATTGGTTTGAATTATTGCAAGAAGATGTTCTTTTTTAAAAAAATATTTTTTACTGTGTGGGTTTCACTTTTTATGATTAACTTTACTAACTCAACGTGTGGAACTTCACCAAAAATCTTGGAGTTCTGAACTTAGAGGAAACCATGCAGTGGAGTGACCTGGTGTGATAGGACAGAGTGCTGGCTGGTATGGGTTGTGGTGCTGTTGTATTAAGGAAATGCAACTGTTGAGGGGTGGCTGTAAGAATCTTCTGGCATGTGTGGGAGGGTTGTTTTTTTAAAGAAAAATGTGTACTGCAGTTTTCTAATCAGCTTCTAGTAATAAGTGTCTGAAATTATTCTGATGGAATGATGAGGGGAGAATGAGACACATAGTTATCAAAGTTCCATGAGAAACTAGTTTCCTATTTATAGTTTATAGTTTGCCATTTGGTTAGTATTGCAGAATGTATTTCTAATTGCTTGTCTGACCTAGATTTACCCATTAGAGAGTATTTGCCAGGATTGATGCATCATTAACTCTTAATTTTTTTGGCTTTTAGATGACCATAGTCGTGTAAAACTGCAGAATACTGAGAATGACTATATCAATGCTAGCCTAGTGGTCATAGAAGAAGCTCAAAGATACTACATTTTAACACAGGTAAGTAGCTCCAATTACAAGGTTATTACAGGGACTTAGAATCTGGGTGAGGGGTATTTGTACAGCCGTAATTAGTGTTTGGATGGTTCTTTTTCCCTGTGAGTTATCTCGTACGAACTGCCTGTTTGATCTAGTTGTGAACACATAATTTTGTAATTTAAGAAAAAGCTAAAGGGAGTATTTAAGTGTGAATAATGTACTGCATATAAAGCTTATCAAGTGTTTCATGCTCTTTTCTTCAGTTCTTTTGGAAATAGGTTGCAACAATACTTTACACCTTATTTCATCTTGTACCTTCTGAGCATGCCTGCAGTAGCTTTTCTTCTAACAGCACAGTAGCATTGATGCCCAAACTGAAAACATTCCTTCCCTGAATTCTTACTTAGATGTTTGGTTGACGTTTTTTGCTTTGTGGGTTTTGGTTTGTTGTTGTTTGTTTTTATTAAAAAACCCACAAACTTTTAAGTACTAGAATGATCTGTGCAGTGTGGTTACTTACTTGTCTGTCATTTCTGTAAATCTGTTAATAATTCCTTTAAACTTTAAAGAAGAAAACTTATTTCTGTTTCATACAGTGAACTATTAACTGTTTTCAAACACTGCTTTGCCTATACATTCTAACACCTGTTTGTTTTTTTCCTTTACCACACAGGGTCCACTGCCTAATACATGTTGTCATTTTTGGCTTATGGTATGGCAACAACAAACCAAAGCAGTTGTCATGCTGAACAGAACTGTTGAAAAAGAATCAGTAAGTAATATTAGGCTTAAAGTTGTAAAGTAAGCCACAAAATTTCAATACAGTTGAACAGTGTTTGAATGTTATGTTAAAAGAGCGAACAGGTCCTCTTACTGGTGTACAGCATAACATGTATTTAATATAATATTAAAGTGATGGAGCTAAGATGCAAAATTCAGTTTGATGTAAACAGCATCTAATAAATATACATCCAGAAAGGTGAAGGTAATATCCTGAGAGAAGAGGATGTGCAGATAGAGTAGAAGTGTAGTAAGATACTTAGAACACAATGGAAGGTGGGAAAACAAGTTTGAATTAAAGTACCTTTAGATTATTTCTTCTAAATCTGACAGGAGTAGTGTATTTTTTTATATAGTGATCTTAACTATAACAGTGAAGACAAGCTGCTGCTCAGCAGTTGTCAAACTGATACAGTTATCTTTGATTCTTTACAGCTGGTATATGTGCAGAATAAATGAATCTTCTGATGTGGTGTAGTTTTTCTGCTCGTGTGCCTAAAATCAGTGTGGATTTAAGTTACAAATGCATGTCATGTGACATTTGTTTTTTCTTCAGAGTAGATTTGTTAGTGAAAAAATTCTGACTAGTCCTTTAAAAAGTCACGTATTTTATACACAAAAATTTTCCTAGGCAAGGATTTTCCTACAGAAGGTTTGAGTGCAGAGCAAGAGAAATAAAGAACAAGGGACAATTTTACATTACTTTGTTAGTTCATTCTTTCACTAGAATCTTGCAGTATTGAGCAAGTGTTGATAAAACTGGATGTGTTACATCAGTTATATAAATGTGCCTATTGGTCCATCAGAAATGGAGTGGGGAAATGTTCTGAAATAGCTGAGTAAAGGTCTCTGTTCACTGTAGAAAACTAGAGGTGGGAGAGGGAGATGGGTTGGGCTGTATCTGAAAAAATGCGAGCTCTGTGATGAGAGAAAGCATAAACAGGTAAAGCTGGGATGCGGTAGCCATTGAAACAGTTGTAGTGACTCGGCTGCAAACACGGACTGAAAACTTCTCAAATAGGGAGCAAGTAAATTAGTCTACCGAATAATGGGATTTCAGAATCTGCTCGTAGAAAGCCTGAGATACTAGGATACTTAACCAGATACCTTTTTTTTTCTTTTTTTTTTTTCTGTTGTCCTTTAAAAAAACAAAATTAGGTGAAGTGTGCACAGTACTGGCCAACAAAAGAAGAGGACGTTATGACATTCAGTGAAACGGGTTTCCGTGTGAGGCTAGTATCTGAAGACGTCAAATCCTATTACACAGTACATCTACTGCAATTAGAAAATATCAACGTAAGCTTTTCTCAGTCTGTATAGCTCATATTCTTGGGCTTAAGTATATAATGGAAACTGCTTAGCAAATTGTCACTACGGGTTGATTGAGCTTTTACACTGCAAATTGTAATGCACTTTGCTTCTGATAATGTCGAAGATGTATATGTGGCATATAAGCAAGTGAGTTAGGCCTGAATTGATCTGTACATTAAAAGAGATAACAGCTTCAGCATTTTTATTCTTGCATTTTTCATCTGGCAGTACCTTAACATGCTGAATTGTAATTGGTGGTAGTGGTGATTATAAGAGGAGCTGTAAGAAATGCCCTAAAAGGAGGAACGAAGGAGTTGGAAATTCTGGAGGTTTTTTAATGTCAGAAATCAGACTCAGAAATTACTGGGTTTTTTTACCTGAATTTTTGTTTTCTATATAATTCAGTCCAGCTATCTATGTTTTTGGGGGGAGGGAAGATTACCACCTGTGGATAGGTAACCTTATCTCCTCTTGCTTACCTCCCCTTTTGCTCCACAGGACCAACCATCCTTTTATCTTAAAAATTAAGCACTTTGACAATTTAATCAAGTTAAGCTCAAAAAAAAAGTTCCTGGCCTGAGCTTGGGTTGGAATTTGCTGCTTCTGTTTCAGAGCTGAAGACAGGACTGAAGAGCTTGTCTGTTTGTTCCAGCTATGTCTTGTAAGATATTCTCTCTCCCTATGAACCTTGCCTTATATTAATCCAAACTGCTAGTATGGCAAGTCTTATTCAGGATTGTCTTGTCAGTGGATTTGGGAAAGGAAAGCTTGAAGATGTTCCTTTGCATGTTATTTTTATGACTAAACATTGGTATATTTGGTCAAAATTATTTGAATTTGTAATAACTGTTAATGGTACTTTGAGAGAATGTTTGTTAATTTGAAACCTCCTTCACGAGATCAACATGATAAAACTTGGCATGTTGTTCCTTTGTCTATTCAGTGTAGAAGGCTTTATGAAATTCTGCCCTACTGACCTGAAGAATTTCGGTTTAGTTGTTTGTTTATTGATAGCAAAAGCAAAGAAGAGAGGAGTAGTGCTTGCAAGCTAGTGTCTAAGAAAGAATAACTGTCTTTTTTGGAAAGCCGAGGCAGGTTTTCCTAATCATTGAAAAGTCGTCTTTGTGGAATTGTCCGGTCGATGCTGTCCCTAATCTTAAACTTCCTATTTTCAAAGGATGCCATTTTCATTATATATGTATGTTTGGACATAGCATTAGCTGGAGAATGCAGAAATCCCTTGAGGAACAGCACAACATATACTATAGCAGACTTTTGAGTTGGAGCTATTGAGCACTTAGGTTTCTGAGTTTACTTTGAACTGGTAATGCAGGCTCATCAGTGCTGTACAGAGTTTCTTGTATGTCACGTAAATCAGTTTCACAAATGCTTAGCTGACTTACTATGCTGAATTTTTGTTTTAACTCCTATAAGGCTCCATGAATATCAGCTCCAAAGAATGTTTTTTTAATATAAAACAGCTGCAAAAAGTATAACATCCTTGGTTACTCAAACAGAAAGACTACATAGTTTATAGAATAACACTGCAAATGTTAAGTGCAAACTTCTGTAAGAATTTGATAATTATACCATAAAACATGGGGGAAACTGAATATTCCCAGTAACTTGAAATGTGAGCTTAGCTATGTTTATACAAGTTATTCTGGAGGGCACTTTGGTGGAGACAGAGTAGCAGGGCATTTAACAGCTTGACAGCTGGAATATAAGATGACTCACGAACAAAATATACTTTAAATTCCAAGAATACTTAAGAAATTTTAGTATTTCCTTGAAAACAGAGAGAACTAGAATTGTCTTTATAAAACAACCACTCTGAACTCAGGTAAATTTGTGTTACTGCTACAAATCTCTCTAATACATAAGCAAAATATGTACGTGTGAAGAGTAAAGTGCTTGTTTAATGCTGTTACCAATGAAATATTTGGTTGTTTGTGGTTGGTTTGTTTTGTTCTGTTAAAGAGCAGTTAAAAGTACAGATGGGGTTGAAGGGGGCAATATTTGTTTTTTAGGATTAGATCAAGGCATTTTGCGGTTTGATTTGTTTGTATCTTTTTTAGGCAAACGTTCGTGTTTGCTGTTGTGGCTAGTGTAGTCTGATAAAGCTTTGGAGAGAAGGTGATGTTTACGGGTATCTTTACAAAAGTTCTGAAAATATTTTTCATGTGCTTTGTCTTGCCGGTGGTTATTGTGGGTTTTCCTTATTTTTTGCCTGACCCGGTCTGCATTTTAGAGTATAGAGATTTGAAGTTGCCTTTACACAAAGGTTCATTTTGTATCCTCCATCATTTTGCTGAGGTCGATTGTCAGCTCTTCTGAAAGTTGACCACTGCTTTCTGCTGTAATTCCTCAGGTTTGGAAGTCTCTTTGAGAAAAGACTTGACTTGTGAAGGCTTCCACAAACCCTTGCCTCTCTTGGAAAATAAGGGTAGAAAGAAGATACGGTGGTCATGTTAAAACTTCATAATGATTTATGTGAGAAGCTATCACATGTCTGTGGTTTGAAGCAAAGTCTTCGAAGTATTCTGGAGAAGGGATGGTCACGTGTTTGAGAGCCTTTTGTTAAATCTGTAAAATAGCTTTATTGGATGGGGTTGCTAAATTTTGTGACAGTATTGTGGGAGGATTGTTAGATATTGACAGCTAACTTCTGGAAGACTCTATTTCCATGCTATTCCTTATTGCTTCTCATTAGAGGAAGAAAACTTTTTTCAGTAATTTCTGATGTGGCAACCTGGATAGCCCAGAGAAGGATACAGTGTGACACATGAACGCTTATAGGCAAAACCCCGCTGCATTGGTACTGAGGAGTTCCAGGAGGCTGTGGGAGGGCAAATGAGCACCAGTATTTAAAGGAAACCACGGACTGAGTAGGTGAGGAAATGTAACAGTGGAAAGGAATTAAAATTGCTGGAGGAATCTTGATGAACGTACCTCAGACTGGTTGCCTAGAAATAAGAATAAAGCTGAGCTGGATTTGATGCAGCACTGGTGGTATGGTACTTTAGAGTAAGGACCATTAATAAACCCCAAGCGGCATCCTGAGTCCTCTGCAAATAGTAAATATTTGGAAGAAACTATTAGCAAAAGGGATTCTCAACATAGTACCAAACCTCTGCATGGCCACCGCTGCCAGGTGAAGATAGTGCAAGACTATGTAGTGGCTCTCAGTATCTCACCCCATGGATGAACCAGGGCAAGTCAGTGTATTCAAGAAGATAAGATTTGCTTTGCTGCTAGTTTACGACATCCAAAATTGTAAAGGTACTGAGCAGATCTTTTGTTTGTGGAGGCAAACAGTCTAATGGCAGGCAATGCTCTGATATCTGGTGGTATCTTTGTATACAGATGTGTATATGTATGTAATCCCTATAGTGTTTTCAAGGGATTTCTGAAATATGGCATAGACTCACTTTTAAATTTGTGAAATGTTCTCATATCATTTTGTCAAACTGCAACAGGGATTAATTTTGGTCTTCATGGCTATGGAAATAAGACTGAAGTGTTAGGAAAGGTATTCATGTCTAATAGGAAAGCAAAACCCAGACTCGCTTTAATGTCAAGTGTCCTGCAGCTTCAGTGGGTATAGCTATCTTCCAGAATATGCACTAGTTAGTTAAAAAAAAACAACAAAAAAAAAAAACAAAAAAAAACCCCCAAACCAAAACACAAAACCTCAAAACACTCAGCAACAAAACCCCAGAATGTTTGTGAGGACATTTGTGAGGCTCCATTATCCTCATTGCCATTTTTACAAACATTTTGAAAATCATTTTGCCAAGCATTAGAAATGAAGAAATAGAACAGGTTGTGGTGAAAGTTGATTTAAGATTTTGAATTTCAGTGCTTAGAATAGTGTCCTTTTTTATGCAATTGAATTAGTTGTTAATGCACCTGAAACATGATTGTTAAATACAGGAGCACTATGGGGTTATTGGTGTATTTTATGCATTCATATGTTAGACCATTTCATTAGCCCTTCAGCTATGAAGTGAAAGCTTTTATAAGAACCATAGAACAGTTTCGGCTGGAAGAGACCTTCAAGATCATCAAGTCCTAGCCCTATCAGCACCACTAAACCACGTCCCTCCGCACTACATCCACCTGTCTCTTAAACACCTCCAGGGAAGGTGACTCAACCCCCTCCCTGGGCAGCCTGTTCCAATGGCTGACAACTCCTTCAGTGAAGAGATTCTTTTTCATATCCAACCTGAACCTCTCCTGGCACAACTTAGACCATTTCCCCTTAAGGAGTGCGTGAAATTTAGCAGACCAGCATTTTTCTGTCTTCACCTGTTTTACTTGGCACTGAAGTCATCGACTTCCTTTGAGCGTTTCCTTAGTATTTTATTCACGTTCATACTCTCAGGTGACTGGACCACATAAAGTTGTTCTAAGATTTTTATGCCTTTTTTTTTTTGAGTGATTGGTTAGTCAGTATAAAAAGGTTATGACAAGGCATGTTTTGATGAGAATTAGTCTAATGGCATTGTATTATTTGTTCTCCTCGAGTCCTCCTGTGGATGTCTGCTTGTAACATGGAAAATGGCTTGTGATCATCCTTAGATCATGCTCTTAGTGTTGCCAGCAGTGTGGTGGTACCGCTCTGAGTTTATCAGTTTGTGTTGTTTATTGACTGAAAGCTTATGCCTGTAGTCTGTGAAACTTTCACTAGAATAGTTTGACTCATTTTCTCCAAAAGTGGTTTGTTTAAATGTTGTCCCATGATGATTCAAGGATTTTTAAATTTTTTGGGGGGTAGCTAGTCTTAGGGAGTAAATCTTGGAGAAATATGTTGCGGTTACCATAGAACAAGCTGGTTTTCAGCTATCATGCAGAAATGTTTCCTTTGTGTATCATATATAGAATTTTCTATTACTGTCTCACTCTTGGAGTCCAGCTTTTTTTATTTAAAAGAATATCTAGTTTCTTGATAACACTTTAAATAAAATCAGTTGCTCTTTAAAACTAGATTTCTGTCTATCAACAGCTGTGAATCTTTAACAAGCCAGGTCTTTTCCCGTTACAGTCCTGCATCACTTAACGTAAATGATAGCTGTGGTGCATGGCTCAGTGACAGGGGGAGTTCTTTAAGAAAGGATGTTACAGATACTCACACAAAGACAGTATTTCAGCTGTACAGCTTGACTGCCAAGCACAACTTGAAAGATCCATTCTGTTTAAGAGAGAGAATGTGGGAGGTTCAAAATATTCGTATGGGATTTGGCTGTATGATTAGAGACTGCAAGTTCAAAGAAGACCAGCTGGTTCCGGTACACTGAAATGGGACTTCTGAGGAAATACCGAGAATCTAGGTATTTTTAAAATGAACTGAAGCGGTGGAAAATTGTGGCATGGATAAAGCCTTTGTACGCTACAGGGAGGAAAAAGAAAGGAATTCTGTGGATTAGAGCTGGATGAGATGTATAACAGCAGCATTCAATCTTCCCTTTAGAAACACCCATTTTCAGATTGGGGCATGGGTGGGGTCACGCTTGGCCGTGTGCTTGAGGCACTACTGATTGTTTTCAGGAGGACACTAGAGCTTGTTACAGTATGGGATTTGGAAAAAAAAACACAAAAAACCCCCAACCAAAACACAGATCACCTTTGTATTCTATGCATAAGGGCATTTTTGCCTTGTAGAGGTGTAAGGGAGGCTTTAATCTGGAATTCATTTTAAGAATCTTGGCGGGAGGGGAGAGTTACCACCTCAAAGGATCACCTAGATTCACAAGAAACAACTTTAGCCTTTGCTCTACCTAGTATCTGCATTTAGCTAATCTCTCCAGTTTTCCTTTCCATTTTGTTTGTAAATTGATGTGTTATTTTTCTTAGAGAATTTTAGAGAAGATAACTTGTAAGCAAATTCCTCTGTTTCTAATTCCCAAATTTCTTTTAATATCTCCTTCGTGCTTTTTAAACAAATGGGTAATTTCAGTTGATCAGAGAGTTAACTCACTACTTGATAAACTAGCTATGGAAGACCAGTAAAAAGATAGCAGCTGAAAATGCAAACTATTTTTTATAATAGGAAAGGGAAATTCCTGTATATTTACACAATTTAGGCCTTGGTAGATATTTTTTTTCCCCTTTAAATTCTTACTATGTACTCATTTTCCCAGTATGATGGATCAGATTCTGTTGTCCTTGTCAAACTCTTAGACAAAAGATGAAAAATTCCTGGAAGATAACTGTGCATTTGAGAGTAACTTGAGTCATATTAATATCCACTGTTTTCTGTGAAAGTATTGGCAGTCTTACAGGCATTGAAGGCAAAAGACAAAATGGGAGAGTGTTTTTGTTACTGTGGTAACCATGAAATGGATTATTTTAGTTTCACAGAAGAGTTTCGTAAGTTTTCCCTCATACGAAGTTGAAACAGGTTGAGCATCTGAAGAACGGTAGAATTTATTTGAACTTCAGAGCTATATTTTACTGTTGCTGAAAAAAAGAAAAACATAGCTTTTCTGGAATTCAATCTTGTGTTCCAACTTTGTTGAGATTTATGTAGATTTCAACCTATGTGGAAAGCGAGATGAAATGAAGTAGCATAGAAATAACTGAGCGACATCAGTGATCAAGTTGTCTCAAATCACTGTAGCAAGGAGTGGCATTTACCAGCAGGTCTGAAGTGAGTTCCCTAAATGTGATCAAATTTGTCATCAAAACTCTTCAGATACATGCATACGTACTCCCTTGCTGTCATTTCAATACTTGCAGTTGGCCCTGTTAGGAGAGGAGCTGTGTGTTTCTGAACCAACTGCATGGCTTTGGAATCCGCCTTTCTTGCTTACAAAGAATAAATATGTCCAGCAGAAGTTTTGCTGGAGATATCCTGCTGTGGGGGTTCTTACAGGCCTTTCCCTGCTCCTCACTGGTGTTGTTAGTATAGAGGAAATTCTAACACCTCTTGATACTAACATTTTGTCTGAGCAAGAGTGGAATGTTTACAATACCAATGGGTTTGATTTTTTTTGGTCGTGTTAATGCTAGCAGTTTAATAACTGCTGTCACCCAATAAGCTGCATTACTGATAGAAAAAGAATAATATTTGGGAGCAAGTAGTGAAGCAAACCATATATAATATTGGAAGTTTGAGAAGAAGAAAAAAATAATTGCGAAGGGGAAAACTACCAGTTCAGATGAAAAGCTGCTTCAGGTCATCCAACTTGAAGCAAGTTACTGGATTATCTGTCTGAATGGGAGTTTTAAAATAGAAAATAGCCATTGATTTTGATTGGGGCTATGTATGCTAACTGAACAAAAGTAGAATACTTGCTAGTTGTATTGTTTATTTGTTTTCACTTCTAGAGTGGTGAGTCCAGGATGATCTTTCATTTTCATTATACTACATGGCCAGACTTTGGAGTTCCTGAATCCCCAGCTTCATTCCTGAACTTCCTGTTTAAAGTCAGGGAGTCTGGTTCACTAAGTCCTGAACACGGCCCGGCAGTAGTTCACTGCAGCGCAGGGATAGGACGCTCCGGCACATTTTCGTTAGTAGACACTTGTCTTGTTCTGGTGAGTGTTTGGCCATTTTCCCCGTGAGCCTTTTCCTTGCCGTGACACCCTACCTGTCTTCCTAGGATGGGCTTTTTGGACAGAAGGCTTTAAGTTAATGACATACCAGTGAAAACTTGAAGTCATCATGCTTTTTTTTTTTTTTCCCCTTCATATATTTTAACAATTTAAAAACACAACTCTTGAAATACATTTACAAATCCATCTTTTGAAGTACTTTACATGTTTTCAAAGCTTCTGAAAAGTTTTCCTTTTGTATAAGATGTGCTTAAAAAAGAATTTTGGGTTTTTTTTAAATACAAGCTTAAAGTTAGCTTTGTGAATATATGTTGAGACAACTGAGTGTATAAGTATTTTTCTGATAGGCCCCTTTTCTTAAAGTTGCAGAAAATTTTATCTGAACTAGAATGAGAACTTGGGTATGCCTCTGGATGTCCTGCAGTGTGTGATGGGGCTGGTGCAGAACCTCGAGCTGTGCAGCCTGCCAGGAAGTGGGGCTTTACAGCCAGCTGTGGTACTGCATTCTGCGTACTCAGAGAACTGCATCATCTATAATTGCTTGTGACTTGAATGAACTTTAAAAGTCAAATAGTATTTAAAATATCTTTACTTTTTTGTTTGGGTTTTTAAAGTCCAGATGCAGACTTTTCTGTCTTTGGCTGTGCTCCTTAATAGTGAAAAGTACAGCACAGGGTTAGGTGAAGTATATTTTAATTTAAATTATAAGATACTTACCTTCTTGTTGGGTTAGATCCCCTGATTATATTTTTTTTCTTCAGTTTTACCTTAAAATCAAGTCTTATTTGGTTAATACATGATCATTGATTTGTTCATAATAAGCTTTCATTAGATAGTTAACTTTTTTCCTGTAAGACCAGTTTAGTAATCATCTGAGATGTTAGTTTCCTAAATAAATAACGATAATATGAATAAATGAATGTTTAGATTTAATTTTATGACTTATTTTCACTTGTAAATTTTTTTTTATATGTTGTCTCTATCGGTAGCCATGAGTCTTTTGATCTAACTTTCTTTACAGATGGAGAAAAAAGACCCATTTTCTGTAGATATTAAGAAGGTATTACTGGATATGAGAAAATATCGAATGGGACTTATTCAGACTCCCGATCAACTAAGATTTTCATACATGGCTGTAATAGAAGGAGCAAAATATATAATGGGGGATTCAACTATACAGGTAAACATTTAGCTCCATGTATTTAAACATAAACAGTAAGACTGCTAACAGTAGTTAAGAATGAGCTTCAAACTACTTGAAAACATGTATGTTTGTGATATTTAAATTATTTGTCTTTCTGAATACATGCCTAGAAGGCATTGGAGAGCATCTAATTGGCACCATCTGTCAGCTAAACTTTTACTCCTATGTATTTGTGACCTGTTAGATAAAATATAGAAACAACCTGTCTGTAAAAATATTTTTTTAAAAAAGATTAAATTGGTATCTTCAGTACTGAAAAGCAAAAGTAACGCCCGGTGTCACTTTAAAAAATAGCAAGGATCTTCTTAGGATTTCTTGATCTTTGCTATGTATTTTCCTAACAATAAAGTTGCCTGATGCTACAGATCAGGGTTATTATTAATATTAGTTTATTAGTATTAATTGTTGGGCTTTTTCCCCATGTCCTTTAAAGTTTGTGTTACATTTAGAAGAATCTGGCCAAATATAATGAGTTTTGCAGTAACAAATTGCCAAATCTCGCTGTTTTATCAGTGTGGCTTGCAGGGGTAGCAGTAGCCACAACTACTTCAAACAGGACTAGGTGGGAGGGAGGGCTGGGAGGAGAGGCTGCGAAAAACGTTTAGTCCTGCTTTTGTCTGCTGGGGCTCTTTTATTTTGTTGGTTGCTTGAAGTTGTGAATGAAGCAGATAAACTAAACATTTCCTCTTTTCTGTGGCTCTGGTAGTTGTCAGATTTTTCTCTCTGACAAATGATTCTTGACTTGCTATGTAAATAAATAGTTTTGCATAAACACCTAGGTAGTGAGTGTGCTGCTAACCTGACACCTGCAGCATATGCCTAGAAGACTGCGTGATTCATCCTAATACTAACAGCAATTTAGCCTCTCTATTTTCTGGAAGCTGTTTCTGGTGATATGAGGATATTCTCTCTAATTAAAACACAAAGCAGAAAGATAAAAAGCCATGCTCCAAACTTTGAGCAGCTCTAGTTCCCACACTTACTCATGTAGATCACAGGACTTCTTGTTTCTGGATACAAGGGAGCACTGTCCACTCAGTATACTGCCTGTCAGGTTCAAGTGTGTTATTTCTTCATGTTGCTGGAGTGCCCAATAAGGCACGCTTCTCATTTGTTCTTTAATTTTTCTTTCTTGTTATGATTGCTTGGATGATTTTTCTTAAACCAGTGTTTTCTGCAGTACAGGCAATTGTCCTGGTACTTCTTGGCCTCAGGGTCATGTACAGAAAATCAGTTAGCAGTATTTAATAGGAGTATTTCTCCTTTCAAGGTCAGCTAGATTTTTTTTTTTTTCCATATGGAACATTTCTACTGTCCAGAGTGTGCAAGGTGTTTACTTCTCTCGGTCAGTGATAGGGAGGGCATCGAAGTCATCGAACGCTTCTCTAATATAACATAATCAAGTGTTCATCTCTGACATCTCCATGGATTTTGGAAGTCAGTAAACCGTGCAGATGAACACAAGGTATACTCGAACCTTTACTTGTTCACAGCCGGGGGCTGCCACTGCAATTCTTGTATTGAGAGATGAGGAGTCTTTTCTCCTTGTGTAGCACCGCTGGGATTTCTGTCTGTGGCTGAAAGGAAGGATTGTACACTCACTGGGGTTGCCCAGAAGCCCTGTAGAGGCATGTGGTTGGTGTGTTGCTACATGGTGCTGGGCTAGGCTTCTTTTGGTCTTTTTTGGTTTAAGACAAAACAAGGAAAACTTCTGAGAGTGAAATGTCATGTGCATGAAGACACCATTGTGAATTTCAGATCTGTAGGGAAGTTCTTCCTTGATGGAAGATTCAGTTCATTGTTAAAGCCCATTCTGCCAGCAGTCCATTTATAAGTAGCTGGGGTTTTTGACATCACTCGGAGTTTGATACTTGGTTTAGACCAGCAGTCTTAAATTTATTCCACAGATGAGAATCTAACACTTGTTTCGTGAAGAGTTAGTTTTCAATTTATCTTTCTTATCATAGACATTTAAAAGTAACTGATTTTTCCCCCCCAGGTATTCCGTAAGACAGGCTAATTTGTGTGAAAAAGGAATGGGTATTTTTTAGGGAGCAATTCTTTCCCTTCCTGTTACCTTTCTACTTTTTTCTGCATTAAATTTTGTTACTAGAAGTCCTTAAGACTATTCATCATTAGGATAGTTACTTCTCAAAACAAGGTGAATATCTGACCTTAATAAACCTTTCAGTATGTAAAGGGAGCTTATAAGAAAGATGGAAGAAATCTTTTTATAAAAAGCAAGGCCTGTTGCAGTAGGACAAAGGGCAATGGTTTTAAACTAAAAAAGGGTATATCTAGATTGGATATAAGGATGCAATTTTTTAGGATGAGGATGATGAAACACAGGAACAGGTTGCCCAGAGAGGTAGTTGAGGCCCCATCCCTGGAGGCATTCAAGATCAGGCTTGATGGGACTCTGAGCAACCTGATGTAGCTAAAGATGTCCCTGCTCACTGCAGGGACGTTGGACTAGATGACCTCTAAAGGTCTATTCCAACCCAACACATTCTATAATTCCATTATCTCTTTTATGATGCCATAACAGGACCTGAAACAGTAGGCCACAACTTTGGCATAAGTAACGCTAGATTTATTTTCATTTGCATTGCGGATTTTTTCAGTTCTCTCTCTTTTAAGCAGTTCTTGCACACAAGGTCCTACTGTGTTTCAGAGCCGTGAAAGGTAACAGCACAGTGTAGGCTTGTAGAGAATAGAGAAAGATGGAAAATGTTGAGCAGTGCAGTCTTGTATAGACAAGACACCTTGCTTCCTCCTTGTGCGCCTCCTGTGGACAGTACAAACCCTGACGTTAGTGGCCTCGTACCTTTATGGTAGCATCATCCTGGAGAAATCTAAAAAGAGAAATGTGTCTTCACCTGATCATCTTCATCTAGCAATTTATTTTTTTTCTTGATCTCATGGTTCCTTTAATCTGCTTCTGTGACTGCTACATTGGAAGACATCTTGGACAAAAAGGGCCTTCAGTGTTAGGGGAATGTTTGAAATATCTTCTCCTTATTTGCAGAAACGGTGGAAGGAGCTCTCTAAGGAGGACCAAGCGCCAAGTTCTGAGCAGTCTCCTCCACACCCTACCAAAGTAACCACAGAGAAATACAATGGGAACAGCATAGGCCTGGAGAACAAAGATCAAACAGAGAAAACAAATACTGACCTGTCCACTAAAGTTCAGGATATCACAGATGGAAACATGGAAAGGTAGGCAAGATGAAGAAACTGTTTAGAAGGCAGATGCAGTCTCTTAAAATGCTGAATTTTTGTATGCTTTTCCTAAGAAAACTTCAAGATCTTTCTTCAGAAGAGCCGAAGGGCAGGTGGTATTTGACTGTCTTAATTATTTTTAAAATACAACTTTGATTATTCCTTATGATAAAGTTTTATTGTTTAAAGGTCAAAAGAAAAACAGATATCTCTAACTGAAGAAGCTAAACCTCGTGCTTGAAAGCATTTTCCTGCAGACTGTCTGTGAACTCTGTTGTGCAGTGGGAACGAGGGCCTGAATTTGACCAGCATAGTTGGATACTGATTTATCACTGAAGCCATATGTTACTCTCCACTCATGTGAAATCTGCCACTATGAATAGATGTCTTTAGCTGTGTCACATGAACTTGTCTTTCTCTGTCAACTTTTTCTGCCTCGTGACCACAATGCGTCAGCTGTGAGCTGCTGTGCTGGGAGTCAGCCCCTGGACAGGCGTACCCTGAGGGGCTGTGTCGCCCGAGCCAGCCCACGTGAGGGCAGCCCAGTGTGGATCCCTGGCCAGAGCGCCAGAAACTGGACTGGGCTGTGCGCAGGAGGCAGCAGTGCCTGTCCCACAGGGCTGTGGTCTGAGGCGAGATGCAGATGCAGCAGTTCTATGTAGATAAGACTGGAATTCTGAAATAACAGATGGCTTACTGAATGCCTAGATGAGTGTCTTTCCATGTCTTTGAGTGTTTTGAGAGGGAATCACAGCGATTCTATAGATGCTTGAAGGAGTGTCTCACAAGGCAGGAAGGGAGGGCCATCAGTATTACATTGTGATGATACTTTTGGAGACAAGAATTACGAGATGGCCTTGATAGTATAACAACACACAATTGACTTTTACAGAATCACAGAATCACAGAATGTTAGGGGTTGGAAGGGACCTCTGAAGATCATCTAGTCCAACCTTCATCCCAGCATACCTAACCACTACACCATAGCCTCAAGTGCTAGATCTACTTTTTTTTTAAACACCTCCAGGGTTGGTGACTCCACCACCTCCCTGGGCAGCCTGTTCCAGTGCCTCATCACTCGTTCAGTAAAGAACTTCCTCCGAATATCCAATCTAAACTTACCCTGACGCAACTTGAGGCCATTTCCCCTTGTCCCGTCATTAGTAATTAGAGAGGAGAGACCAGCACCAGCCTTACCACAGCCTCCCTTTAGGTAGTTGTAGAGGGCAATAAGGTCTCCCCTCAGCCTCCTCTTCTCCAGACTAAACAAACCCAGTTCCCTCAGCCGCTCTTCATAGGGCATGTTTTCCAGACCTCTCACAAGCCTTGTTGCCCTTCTCTGCACCCGCAAGAGAAGCCTATGTCCTTGGTCAAGAGGGGGTTTACGGCCTGAGTGCTGTTAAATCTGCATTCAGACAGCAGTTGGTTAGGGTCAGCATGTCCGTGAGGCTGATGTGAGCTCTGCAGTGGAGGCACACGCTTCGGTGCTGTGAGTGTTGGCACACGGTGCCTGACGTTGCCTATAAAAGCGGCCTCCATGCAAAAAATCTCAGTTACTGAATGGGGCACTGAGAGGGGTGAAATGTTAAGCTGAGATAATTAAGGTAACTGTTGCCTGCTGAAGACACAGGCCAAGCACCACTTACATCTTTGCATATGTCATTTACTCACTTTGTAGGGCTTCACTGACCTGAAACTGTCCATAGCAAAGTTGCTAAAATAAAAATTGCTTTGTTTAGATATTAGGTACTGCTGCCATATGCAGCTAGTGGGTTAACTATTAGGAGTGTGTTGTGAAGTGGTTTAATATTTCAATAGTCTTTTTTTCCTATTCTACAATTTAAGATTTACCTTTTTCTTTTTTTCTTCAAGTACTGTCCGAAAACGACTGCGAGAGGATAGAAAAGCTAACACAGCACAGAAGCTGCAGCAGATGAAAAAGAGGCTAAATGAGACAGAAAGAAAAAGAAAAAGGTGGTTATATTGGAAACCTATTCTCACTAAGTTTGGGTTTGGTGCACTGATTTTAGTTGGCTTTTTTGCTTTCTGGAAGCTGTATTTTCAATGACATTCCTTGAAAGCAGGCAGCAAGCCTGTCTGCTCCAGCAGCTTATTTTGCTGCAAGTTAATGACAAGGGGTGTGACTTTTAAGCAGTAAACTCCTTCTGCCTGGAATGGGTGGAGACTGTTACATGCAATAGAGAAGTGATGTAAACTTGATCCCATGTCAACATCTCAGGACTTTTCACTGCAGGTACTTATAAAAATGAACTGCTGCCCCCCAACAAAGTTGATGGTTTTTGTTTATATGAGCAGCAGGAAGTTTGTACCTGCTGTTTATCCACTTTTTAAAGTGGCGTTCTACCAGATCCTAAGCAAACCCTGAACCCCAGAGGTTCAGCTGCTGAAGACTGTCTGGATTCAAATTTACATGCCTGACATAAGCAATAAACAGTGTTGTATCATTTACATTATTAATGCAAAGTTATCCTTAAATGTGTGTAATGTGTAATGTACTAGTGACATGAACATAAACATTTTATATTCTTATGACCTAGGATAAATATATTTTATAATTGCATATTTAATCTTTTTGTAGTTCGCTGTACTTTTAAAGGCTCAGTTTGTACAAATTTCTGACCAAAAAAGAATTTGATTTTGAAACTAAATGTAATTATAATTTGTGCATGAAAATAATAGTGCAAGCATTCCCCGTATTTTGACTCTCCAGTTTGATATGAGCAGCTAGGGGTCTGATGAAGCACTTGACCAATTTCTACTCTGTTAATTTGCATTCCTTATTTATTTTTTTGTAGTTCTCATTATTTAAGTAAGGCTTGGAAATTTGATTTTTTTTTTTTAAGGCTTTTGAGAACTTAGCCCCTCCTGAAAACCATATTGTTGATTAATGTATTCAGACTTCAGTTGCTGTTTGGAGGCCAACATTGTTAAAATTCTGACATTCCATTAAATGTGAAACATAATGTTTTGTGTGTCTATAGATTTAATTGCTAGAAAGAATAACATTAATTCATCAGCAATAGGTGTAGAAAGCACATCAAAGGAAACTATAGATGGACTTCCAAGGGCATTTTTAATAGAAAACGACTGTTGGTAGTGCTCTCTTGTGCCCACTGTGTTCAGGTGCATGAGCTACTTCTGTGACTTCACAAGGTCTAGAACTGCTTTTCAGGCTCCCCAGCGCTGTATTAGAAGGGCACAGCGTCAGACACGTGGTGACTAATGTTTGGGAATACCCATGCTGCAGTTGCTTTACAGTTGTCGAGTGCTCCCTTTCCATTAGTTGGGCGATAGCACTTTCTAAATAGTAATTCAACACAGATCACTTTGAAATTCTTTGACTACAGAGATGGTACGTGGCTGTATGTAGCTCACGGTCATTCAGGTTAGACCTAACAATTTTTAGTATTGGACTGCACGTTGAAACCTGGATTTTATTTATTCCAGCTTTGCTTTGTTGGGCAACCAGAGAAGTTGTGTTTTCTCCCTCCGTTTTCCTAGCTTGGTCATTTTCTGTTGGGTATGGTTTTGTTTCTTTTTTTTTCTATTTTCACTTTACCCCTCCTCCTCCCCTTTTGTAGAGGATTTCGTGGATTTACTGCTGAAAAAATACTAAAAGAGCTAGATAAATACTTTGTTCCTTGTCCAAAGGAATTAACTAGAAAGACTTCCAGTACATTCAAGCTTAGTAGTAACATACCAGGCATGGGGCCCAAATAGTCTGAGAGTTACTACCCAGAGCTAAAGTTTACTCTTTGAAATCCGTATTGCACAATAGCTAATACTATTTTGGACTACGGTGTTTATATAGTAAACAAATGCTTTAAAGGTCCAGATAAGGAAAAAAACATAGTTTCATACAGTTCTGAATTTGGGAAATTGTACGTCAATAAAATAAGACAATTTGTCCTTTAGCGTTGCTGCCCAACTGTGCAGCTCTAGTAGCACAAAAGACTTACTGACAGCAGTGACAAGTATAGGCAGGCAGCTTTCATATTTTAAGTCATTTCGTAATTTTTACAACCACTGTAACTCTTTTGGCCAACAAGAGGCTTGGTTAAAGATTCTTTTTTCTTTTTTTTTTCTTTTTCCTTTAAATTGGGAAGACAGTTCTTTTTCAGTACCAGCTATAACTGATAGTAGTTGTAAAGATAAGTGCCTTATAAAAGATATTGGGGTTACAGAAAAACACATGGAATGTAATGAAATGTTTTTATAACAGAAATATTCAAGATTTTGTTCTAAATAATTAAAAGCAGCTAAGGAAAAAGTGCAGACAAAAACTTTCACTGAAATAGTCACTGTCATTTACAGCCTTTCTGTTTGCATGAGAAAGATTTCCTGGGCCACCAGTGTTGTAAAGACACCAAGCTCTAACTGTGGCTGGTCGTGTTGACACTTGGAATTTTTTCCCCATTCAAACTTCTTGTTCTCTTGACCCTGAGCAGCCATTCCTCTTTTCTGGGTGGGGCATCTCACAGCATCTCTAGATGCAGTGAAGCGGGATTTGCACGTTCAGCGGTTGATCTGTGAGAATTTGCTTTGATTTCATGGTTGTATCTGTCTTGAGAGTCTTAACTGTTAATAATTTAAGGACCACAAGCCAATACAAATCCTGGACAAAACTCTTTCGTACAGTGAATTGTCCCTGATGGTATGGGCCTAGGAAGGAAAAATAAACATTAGATCTCTTAGTACGTTTCAGGAGATAATTTGGATAAAACTTCCTGCTGGCCAGTCAGCAATCCTTACAAACCAAAATCTGGGGAAGGCTTGTTCTTTACTGCAAACTGAGCCCTTGTGATATTGTGTTATTCTGTAGGATTTAAACTTGAAGCAGTTTTGCAGAACTTGGATGTTAAATAAGAAAAAATATGGGCCAAACTGAAGAACTGCCCATCCCAGTGAGCTCTGTCTTAGAAAATGCTTAAAGACAGAATAAAACTGCAGGATGTGCCTTCTGACCCCCCTCTTGCTGTCCCGCCCCCCGATTCCTGGCAGGCTGCTGGCTGGTCCTGTGCTGCTTCCGAAATGCTGTTGCACTCGATTCAAAGCATTATGGTGTTGGGTTTTGCCCTCTGTTCTGAAAATATGTCAGTCAAAATATTTGATGCATAATGGGCTTCCTTGAATTTGATTAAACAGTGTTTGACTCTCAGGGGAACACTTCTGTACAAATCATGCACGTTTTTATAAAAAAAATCAACAAAATTTGAACCTCTGTTGCAAGGGAACCATCTGGTTTTCTGATTTATCTTCTTGGTGCAGGCACAGACCACTTAGTGTCGGTACGTAATACTTTAATTTGGTATGAAATAGCAATTTGAAAAAAATATTTCTTTCATGGAAGTAAGATATTGCAAGTGAAGCTTTGCTTGTTTTGTTAAACCTTGAGTGAAATGGTTTACTGGCATCAGTCTATATCGCACTGAAAAGGGAGGAGGTGTAACTGTGTATGCATGTATGTGTGATTGGCTTGTGCAGGTGATTAAAACGCCTGGCTAGCTTTAAGTTTAATGAATGTTAACAAAATTATTCAGTTTGCTGTTTAGCGTTATAGTTAAACCTGAGTCACTTGAGGACTGCACAAGAAACTAAGTTAACAATGACAAAAGAGAAAGTTTTCTGCATGGCCAAGAGGCTTAAGTCAGAGGGCAAAATGTGCAGAGTTGACATAACACACAGTAGTCTTCCTGGGCTTTTTTGTTTTCCCCCAGAGTTTTAGGTCAGTCTTTCCTTTTTATATGTACAAAAAATAAATGTGTTCAAAATCGCATCTCTGTCTGAGTCTTTATTTAAATTGAAAGGATAAGTACTTGGAAGATTTTTTAAATTTTTTTTTAATGTCTTAACTGATCAAAGAAAGCTGCTTTAGAAGTCAGTGTAGTGCTCACAGAACTTAAAAGCTTTTTACTCGTAGTACCTTGTAAGTACCAAGGTCTGTTTGTGTTCCCTGGTGGTAGTGCCTTAGCTTTCCTAAGAACAAAACGTCTTCCTTGCCACAGGAAACCTTTGCCTAGGAACACTTGCCTCCATGCTGCTGTGCCAGGACTGGCCTACAAAGCTACGAGAGGCGATGGTAGCGGTGTGGGGTGCAGCCTTCTCTGGCCTCACTAAGGCCCAAGAAGATTTCCGCAGTGCTTGTGGTTAAACGCCCCAAGGAGGGGTTTGCTGGACTGAGACCTGTACTTGAAGCTCTCCAGCAAGTACGCGCCTTACGCTGTAGTACGGAAGTGCCTTCCGAAAAAAGCAGCAGCTTCCCAAGGCAGAAGGTAGTTGGTAGTTGCTCCAGGGAATGCGTGAGAAGCTGTTGGGTGCTTGTAGCGAGTTGCCAGCTCGCTGACTGTTCTTGCTTCTTTTTTCTTTCTCCGTACTGTGTACTGAATCGGTGACTTTCTTTTGCGTTGTGTGTCGCAGGCCGAGACTGACTGACACCTAAGCCTTCGAGACTTGTGAATATTCTGCAGCTATAAACTGCAAATTATTGACATGCAAAGCGAGACATGAACCCCTCTTCGGGAACAAAGAGTGAGGTCTGTTAAGTACCAAGAAGACCTCAGTTATCTGTTTACAGCGTAAACCGCACCGAGGGGATGAAGACCACCAGCAGCGTGCTACTTTGCAAAACAAAATAATTTGCCATCTTGTGTTTTTATAATGCCTGTATTCATGTAGAAAGATGTAAAAGAAATAAATTAGGAAATATTTTGTTTTGTACTGCCATTCTTATTGTATTTTTATACTTTTTGGCAGCATTAAATATTTTTTTAAATCGACAATATGCTGTTGTGTGCACGTTATGTTAGGGAGAAACTGTTAACAGCCTGTTTTGCGGAAAAAGAAATGTTTCGCCTTAAGCTTTCCTGGTACCCTGTCTTAACTGGAAAATGGCAAAATGATTAGAATGTGCTTTATGCAAGTATTTTCATTAACGCTGAGTATTGTAGTTTGAGCTAGGAGGAACTCTTGCACATGTCTCTTGTAATACACCACTAAGAATATTATTTTGTTAATCTGACCAGTTGGTTTAGTAATCCTTCTGATGTTTGCTATATAATATGCACAAAATGTTCAGTGTCACTTTGTGCAAGGGAATTGTGTTGTGTTGATGATGCTTTAAAGGGAGGAAAGACGGGAACTCTTGACCTCTTGCTACCCACAGCCGTACGTAATTGATGGGAGCTGAGGGCCAGGTGCCAAGCGCACAGTGTCAGTGGTGTCTTTAATTAAAAGGGTTTTGAATTGTGCCATCACAGTGTGCTGTATGTATGGTATTTTACTTCACATCTCACATCTCCTGGCAACGTTCTCCCTGCACAGGCTGAAAAGCTGGACTGGAAAGGGGCAAACTGAAATGCTGCTTAAAGGAGTTCTTCTAATGGACTCAGCAGGGTTTCCCAGCCCTGTAGTTTCTGTGACAGAGCTGATCTAAATTCTGCACTCACAGATGTTCTTTGACAGGCTTAATTTGCCAAAATACTGTATTTGAGATGACCATCTAAACTAGTATGTGGCCGGGTTTTATTGCCGTTTGTACTTTCCATATTTTGTAAAAAGTTTTTGTACAAATCATACAGTTGCTGATAGTAGAGAGGGGGGGAATCTAGGCCGACTAAGGCTATTTTTGCTAAAATAAGAAGCAACCTGAAATCTTAACTTGGTATCAACGCTCATGCATGAAAGGAACTATATTCAGAGTTGTGTTTAACTTGGAGGTGAAGCTGAATCAGGAGAGTACTTAGTGCCATTACTTGAGCTAAATACATGTTTGACACTATCTGGAAGGAGTCTAAATCATCAGATTCTGGTTTCTTTATGTATTTTAATTTCTTTAGATGATTAGTATTGTTCCTAGCCTACATTGGAGGAGAAAACAACATTCCAACTTGCTTCAGCTTTCATTTTCAAGTTGATGCAGCTGTGAGAGCAGGAGTGTTTATAATGAGAGATCAAGGTCTGCCAAAACCACTGCAATAAACCCTGTTTTTGGCGTTGAATACAGGACTGGAGCCTGTTTATACCCTTTGCATGTCCTGGGATACGGTGTTCAGCCATTCCTGCCTTTTACCTTCAGCTGTGATTTATGTTTTCATTACCTTTGTCCTCTTTGAGTTCAGAGTAAGCCTAAGGTATGGCTACTGGAAACATGCACATGCTTTATTATTTTACCTGCTGCTATCAAAGGTAACTATCAAATACGCAACTAGTTTGCTTTATCTTATAGGGTGTAGAGGGCTGAATGTCCTTTGGCCCTTGCCACACAGTGTTGTCTTCTAATCAAAATGCTGATTGCTCTTGTTTTTTAAGTAGTTTCCATCTGCTGAGCTGCTGGACTCACTCACGTGATGAGTAGGCAAAGAGGATAAAGGCACAGTAGTTCCAAAACCAGTTTTGTCAGGTTTTGCTGAGGGCAGCCTCATGACAGCAGAAGTCTTGGCCCAGGAGCTTCTGACGTGCACTTGTATTTTATTTCTACCCAAGGCCACAATTCTTGACTACTACGGGAAAAATGCATTTAAAAAGGTGAAGGAAGGGGAGAGGTTTCCTCCTCAGAGAAAGGACCTTGAGTGTCTAATTGCAGGCTTAAAAGAAATGCAGTTAGAAGAAAGATAAGAGATTTTTCAAATGAAAAATGTGTGACTTGCTTTCTGCCAGGGCTGGGGTTTTTTTGCGTTTTCAAGAGAAGTGTTGCTTTTGTTGTTTGCTAGTCATCTTAACAGGAGGACAGAATTGCTCCCTTGTGGAGCCAGGCCTTGGTGTGCAAAAGGGTAGGCAGCTGCGGTGGGTGCAGCAGTTCAGCTGGCAGCCTGTGTGCAGAGGGCAGGGCAGCGGAAGCAGTGGCTGGGGGACGGCCGGAGCTGCCTGCTCTTGGGGCAAGAGCAGCTACTGCTGGTCACAAGTATAAAATCACAAAGCAGTTGTCCTCAGCGTATCTTTCAGGTCAGTCATTCTAGTAGATACCTGCTTTAACGTAGACTGAAAGTTCAGAATGGACATACACAGGTCAGTGTGCAGGACTGGAGTGTAGTCAGCTAAACATACCCCTCAGGCAGTGAATTGAGGATGATGGGGGAGAGAGGAAGAAAAGGAGGAAAGAAGTAAAAGACTGAATCAGAGCCTTCAACTGTCCAGCACTGAGCCCATCTTCCGCCTCGCTCACAGCAGCGGTTCACTCCAGTTCTTGGAGAGAGCTCCTGCAGTGTAGGACACCTGCTGCCTCAGTAAAAGGGCTGCAGTCACCTCTGGTTTCCACAGACAATTACAGAGCGATTAGTTTCTGCAGAAAAACTTTGGTCATACAGCAGCTGGTCTGTGCCTCCTAGCACAAATGTGTGGAATAAAGAGAAAAACAAGCATGTGCATTCCTCCCATCAGCCTCATGACAATTTATGCACTTGCCTTTGTTTTGAATACTGTTTTTCCAATTAATTTTAGCCTTATCAGACTTAGCAGATTAAGCTTTCCAAACTAATATACAACAATAAATTGCGCTTTCATAAGTTACCAAATCTCTCTGTGCTTACTGCACTACTGTCTAGTTACAGGTGGTGCGTTACTTTCACAGAGAATGAGAATCCATCACAGTGAACAATGATATCAGAAGGATATTTAGGTTGTTAATTCTTTTTTAAAAACAGGAAATTTGAACAAACAATATTTGCAAGCATGATGTATCCCCATGACAGGATCTATATGAAGCCAGGCAGCAAATGGTTTAGCCTTCCACTTGTCACAAGAAACTCAAGCTTCTTGTAAAACAATGACAAGACCATGAGCTAAAATAAATCTGTAAGCTCAGACTAAGGTGACCTTCTCAGTCACATTACTCGGTTCAACTTCTGGTTGTACCTTGCATACCAGTTGTATGCAAGTTGCTTTTTGTTCAGGCAAGTTTCTTTCAACTCACAACCACAGACACATCAGTCATTCCTGAAGACTTTAAATCTATCCAAAACTCATTTTGTACACCGTAAAACATGGCATCTTCATGAAACACGGCATCTTTGTGCATTATTTTACTACTGTAAAAGCTTAGTGATATGAGCAAAGGATTACTTAACACTAAATACCGTGCTAGAAATGTAAAGAAGCATTAGTCTTAATACAGTTCAAACCTGCAGATATAATTAAGTAATCACAAAGCCTTTCCAGTTCTCCTAATGCCAGCAGCAGTTAGTTGGTCCCATTGTTCTTCACATATCTAGATTTGGGACTGACTCAAATACAGTATTTAACCTGAGACTGCCTACGTTTTAAGACATTATTACATGAAGCATTTGCTCTACATACCAGTTCTCCAAGGTTCAGTTTGGCCCTGCATTATCTGCTTCTGCAAAGCAGACCTGAGGTTGGGTAGCACCTACATTTATTACTGGAAAAAGAACATTAACTGAATAGTCATTCAGGTATTAGTCCTCTGTGACAGGTATTTGCTATGATTCTCAAGTCACAGACTTCCAAAACCCCAAAGAAATTAATGATATCACATCCTTTGGGTGATCAGTCACCTTCACTGAGTAGTTAGCCTGAGCTGCTCTTTACCAAGAGGCGCAAGTTTTCAAGTGAATCTGACTAATGAATCTTAAGGTCTACACCTTGAATAGGTCTCTTCAGGACTGCTGCTGTTCCTGTCCTCATCATTTGTACTGCTGGCATGACAATACCATAAATAATAGTATCTATTCAGTAGACTAAATATTTGAAAGTATAGCCTGTGTGTACCTTGTTCCAGCAGCGCTACAGGCTTGAGGAGGAGTGGCTGGAGAGCTGCCAGGCAGAGAGGGACCTGGGGATGGAGAGCCAGCTGAGCATGAGCCAGCAGTGTGCCCAGGTGGCCAAGAAGGCCAACAACATCCTGGCCTGCATGAGGAACAATGTTGTCAGCAGGCGCAGGGAGATGATCATTCCCCTATACTCAGCTTTGGTGAGGCCACACCTCGAGTACCGCATCCGGTTTTGGGTCCCCCACTGCAAGAGGGACATTGAGGTGCTGGAGAAGGTACAGAGATGGGCTACCAAGCTGGTAAAGGGTTTGGAGCATGTGTCCTATGAGGAACGGCTGAGGGATCTGGGACTGTTTAGCCTAAAGAAGAGGAGATTGAGGGGAGACCTCATCACTGTCTACAACTACTTGAAAGGAGGTTGTAGAGAGGCAGGGGGTGGTCTGTTCTCCCTGGTGGCGAGGGGTGGGTTGAGGGGAAAGGGCCGTTGCTCCAGGGGAGGTTCAAGTTGGATACGAGGAAGAATTTCTTTACTGAGAGGGCTGTCAGGCATTGGAACAGGCTGCCCAGGGAGGTGGCTGAGTCACCACCCCTGGAGGTGTTTAAAAGACAGGTGGATGTTGCCTCGAAGGACATGGTTTAGTGGTGTCGATAGGGGTAGGAAAAGGTTGCACTCAATCTTGAAGGTCTCTTCCAGCCAAAACTCTTCCATTATTCTATCTATTAATTTGTAAGCTATAACTTAAGAGATTCTAGAATTTAAATTACTTTAAAATAAGTGGATGGGAATACATACTTCAAAAAGATCAATACTGAAGGGGTAGCTTAACAACATAAATACCACTACAAACATTAAACATGTGAATTACTCAGCACACAACTGAAGGTACCACAACAGCACTGGGAAAAGAAGGCAGAACTAGATCAGGTCTGAGCTTCACTTATATCACTGGGAAGGTTTTGAAAAAAAGCCAAGATCCATGGTTGACATGGAAGAGTAGGGTTTTGTCTTCATAAGAAAATCTATGCCTGCATATCAATCTCAAGTTCTCAGCAACTTTAAGAAGGTGCACCATAAGGTTTTCCATAGCAATAACACTTAACCAAAGAAAAAGGTTTTTCAAAAAATATTTTATTAGGAAAAGAAATCAACCAAAGTTTATTGAATAAACAACTGTACAAAACATATTTCTTTGGTCAATTTGTGAAAGTTACCTTAATTTCTTTAGCCACCCACATATGCGAAAGGAAATTTTCTTAAATAGTGAACTTATATGTACACAACAAATTAAGCTGCTGTTGCTTGGCAATTACTCTGTAATCACCTTCTGAAGGGACATTTAAGACCGCACACGTGACTTACAGAAGAATTCAAAACTGATCAGAAGAGTGCCGGTGGAAGACCGTTGCCAAAAAGTAAGCGCCAAGAACTTGGTATTTTCCATTGTGAAGAACTATCTGTGGAATTGTTGCTCTGCAAAAAAACCCAAATAATTCATAAAGTTTTAAATAGTAGTGTTGTAATTCTGTCTGTCATATTTATTAAAATAATGGGCAGCATTTCAGGGGTCAATATCATTGTGGGTTGCTTTAGAGAAGAGCACTGGAAGATCCAACTTGATCAATCCTTGACACAATTTCCCCCCACGTGTCAAACAAAGGGACTGGGGTTTAGGTTTGCGTTTTCAGGTGGGGAAATTCCCAGTAAGATTTAAATCAAAATATATCTTTGGTGTATCTTGATGACTAAGGGCCAAAATGAACCCAACCTATACATTTTTAGCTTTTCTACAATTCATTTGAGTAACATTTTTAATGTTTCAGACTGAATAAAAATAAAAATAACAGATATAAGGTAAAAAAAACAAGACCTCTAGATCAAACAGTACTTACTTCACTTTTAATTAGCTGGAGCCATTCATTAAGATAGTTAACAAGAGCAAACGCATCAGGGATGTTATCCCCTTCTGAGCAGAATTTGAGAAGAACTGCCATTTGGATTCCTTTTGAACAGCTGCAACAAAAATGAGCAGGCATTTCTATTTCTAAATTCAGAACAATTATATATTAAGAGCAACAACAACCTGCATATGGCTTGTTTAAAAAAAAAAACCACACCAAAACCAAACAAAAAGTAAAAATGTGTGCATATAGAGAGATTTTTTTTTTTCCTCTCCAGATTTCCTTGACTGCATTTTTCAAGCACTTCAAATTCTGAGTTTTGAATTTGTTTGCTTTGTGAGGTAGGAATCTCAGGTCATGGAAGAGTAACTCAGGGCTTCTTTCACATACTTAGTTCGCATTTTGTGCTGGTGGAGCATTTATGCAGATCTCTCGATAGAATCACTCCCGTGTATTTCAAACAGCAGTTCTGCAGGCTGTTTATTACAATATTGACATTTTTTTCATTTAGGTATTAAGATCGTTACTATTTTTTTCCCCCTAAAGTCCTGGAAGTCTTTTCTTTTTCATTTGTATATTGTTTCCATGCTGAACTCAGTACAAAAGCAAGTGTGACATTACTAACTCTCCTGCTGTTGGATACAACAGAAGGGTTAGGTGTCAAAAATAATAGCTCAAAAATAAAAGTGAATTTTCCACCTGACACTTCCAAAACAAATACCTTTTGCAGAGCTAACACAGTTGTACCACAATGAGCAAGTATTACTATCTACAACTTGAAACTCAGACATGCTTTCAGCACAGCTTCTGATGCACACATCTTTTAAGAAAATCCCCACATCTAATTCTTTGCTGGCCCTGAAACCTTAACTCATTATTAGTGCTCAGAATTTTAATTTATTTTTATTTACAACTCATGATGGAATTATTTGTCATGGGAAACAGTTTTTACTATTTACAAATCGTACTTTGCATAAAACTGGATACCAAATTAATCACAATCTTAACTGTACATGCTTTGTTATTTTCCTTCAGCCCACGCATTTATATTTTTTTGAATTTTAACTTCATGATGCAGAATTCCTTATTTTTCTCCTCTTAATTATGGGCTTGATCTGGAAGAAGCTCTTTTCCTGTAAAACCCTTTTCTAGGAAAAGACAGACTTGCGTCTTCCATGCATAGCAGTTGAAAAGATGTTACCTATGTACTAAAATCAAGACTTCTGGTATCTTTCTGTGCTTATCTTCAGGCAACTTACCTCTCTTTAAACAATAGCTTTGTGATGCCACCTCCAGGAATATGTAGAATTTTCTCTGTATTATTTATTCCAGGGTAAGCTGCTACTTTTTCCATTTCTTTCCATTTTAGCTCCTGCATAAGGCCTCCAATTGCTTTCTCGAGATCAGGTGTCAGCAGATAGCGTAGTGGTGTCCTAGAAACAAATCAAGAATACGCTCAGTCTGACAATAGATGACACTACCAGTGGTATTACTTGTGACAGAAAGAAGCTGAGAGCATTGAGGACCTGCAATGAAGAATTGTACCGACATTACCTTACTCCTCCAATACAAGTTAAAAAGCAGCCTATGGCATCAAAACAGGACAAACTACTCAATTTTCCAGCACAAATAGAACCAAGGTGCCCTCTTTAGAGGGTCAAGTAACTGGCAAGTACCAGATACATAAGCGCATAAACATAACTATAGTTGTTAAAATGACTTATAAATAAAATGTCCTTTCTCTTCTTTCAGATAAGAGGTGATTAATTTAAAGTTTGTTATGGTAAAAATGGACTTCGCTGTGATACAGTATTTTTAATCAGCTCACACCACAAATATATGCAGGAGTCAGTCAAATCTTAAGTATTCTCTGAATGCACTACTCTTTTTAGTGAATCTGCTTTAAGAGAGTTATCCTATGGTGCTGAGGGAGGAGGAGGAGGGTAAATCACCACAACTTATGACTCAGATCGCATCAAATAACCATCAGTCCCTCTCACTTCATTCCATATTAGCTGGCCATTCTGCAACTGCATGTAAATATCACCACAACAATTTTTTTTTTGCAAAAATACTGATTGTTGTTGAATCATCAATTACAATATCCTCAGTCAGCAAGTAATGCTTATTTCTAGAGGGATAATATATAATAAAAATACATATAGCCTGAATCTTGCAGTTTCCTCCCAATAAATAAGAACTGATAGCTTTGCATAAAAAAATGACAACTTACTAAAGAAAACCTTCAAAATGCAGATTCATTAAGATGTTATAAACTAACCAATACCCTAAGTAACAGTTAAAACCCTAATCTGTGAGCTAATTTATGGCATTGCTTACAAACACAAGAAATTAAGAAGTTAAAGCTGAGGATCTGTAGCCTGGCAGTGCAGGCCAAATGCAATTTACTTAGAGCTCATTATTTGCTCGGTACTTTCAAAAGCAGTAACTAACAAAGTTAAAGACTAATCCTGTATAACGTAATGTTTTAATAGGATATCAAGTATGTCATGACCTATGCACACAGCCAAGCAAAGAGGCCTTGCCAAAAGTACTCCAAAGAGGGAAATACGTCCGTTTGTCAAAAAACAACAACTCAGAAACATTAATTAGATCTTTTACTGGCACAAACGTACCCCAGAAGTTGCTCATCATCACGCTGGTATGCATGGCTGCTAGACAGAAGAATGACTCTGGCAAATTTGCTGCTTTTCACCCAAGAAAGCAGCATCTGACAAAATGGCCTGTACTTGTTCTATATGCAAAGACAGAGAAAAAAAGTAAAAAATGTATTGCATCCTTAAAAAAAAACCCAGAAGCCAACAATATTAGGCATTATATAGAATGTTCAGTAGTGATGTAAATTTTTCTTCATATCCGTTTAGTCTTCAGCTTCAGATGTATTTCTAAAGAGCAGAGAACTGCTCTGCTTCTTTGCTTAATCAAAACTACACTTATAATGATAAAAATTATCATTAAGACCATGTTAACAACAATAGCGCTGCCTGTTTTGTGTGCCATTAATATCAGTGGACAAGGCTTTAGAGTAAGATGGCATGGTAGGATCACAGCACTTTTCTGCACTTTAAGCTGATAAAAACTGCAGCACAAATTCTTTCTGGCACTCTGGTATTCTGCTTATTTTAAATCACTGCCACTGTCCAGTTAGTGGGTAATTCTAACCTCAACCCTTAATGAATGCAGAAGTCAGCTTGTGATAGCTGAAACTGCATCAACTGCCGGAAGTGTTACAGGACAAAGTAAAAAAATACTTTCCTAGGCCATTTAATCTACTTGGCAGCAGAACTATTCAAACTGAATAGTGAACTAAGAACAATCAACGAATACACATACCTTTATAAAAGGTGATCTGATCTGCAAAACTACAAATTTCTTTGAAGGTAACGAATACACTGGAAGAAGAAATAATTAAGTGTTGTTAGAAGAAAGCAAGAAAAAGATCTGGGTTTAGAAGTATCCAGATTTATCAAATTTACAGTAAACCTTTCAGCTATCAATTCATATGGGAAAGCCTGACAATATCCACAGTGTTAAAAATATGTATTTTTGTGCATTGTCTTTTTTGGACTTAATTTCACTTGTCAGAAATTCAAAGGATTGAATGAAGAAAAATATATGATATTCTGCCTCCTGTAATGATTGGTTGTGTTGAGTTGATGGTTGGACTAAGTGATCTCAGAGGTCTTTTCCAATCTTAGTGATTCTACGATTCAGATAATCTCTTTATGCAGCTTTGCAAAGATTGGCAGATTATTCTGAGATTTCCATGATTTAGGAGGGAAAAAAGAAGATGAAATGCAATGATCAATATAGAGAAAGAACCTAAGTATTTGAAGGCCGGAAAGGAAGAAACACTACACAAGGAAAAACGTAAACATAGGTGAGAAGGAAGCAGAGAGGATAAATATCCTTCTATACCACAATTTCAGCTTGCCTAACAGCAGTTTATTTTAACTATGCACACACTTCTTGTTGTTTTGGATTAAAACCACAGAGAGTTTTGGCTCCACTGCAATATGGTTGAAATTCAACACTTCTTACTGTTTCTGTATATCAGACTGATTATCCAAAAGAACAACAGTAACAGGTTCCTTTGTAAAGTGCGGCTACATTCTCATCTCTAAGTTAGTGAAGCTTGCAAATACCTTTAGCATTCAATACCTACCTTCAGCATTTATACTCAGCTCCACTGAGTTTTCTTCTGCTGTTGCATATGGATTATTTCCAACCATTGGCACCAAGCAATCAGTGTAGAAATAACCAACTTTAGTCATGTCAAGCGTGGAAATCACTAAATCTATTGCCAGTTGACCAACATTTCCCACCGACACTGCTGGCTGAAATAACAGAAGTTACTAATTGATTACACTGTGTTTTTTTGGACAATACAATTTGCTCTTCAAATAGTGAAGCAGTGAAAGTTAAAATTACCTTAATTGTGATCAAACATCATTTCTAAAACTGGCTGCTCATCCTCTGACAAAGGTGACTATTTCTTAACAGATTACTAATACTGACTTTGATCCCCGCTCCACAAAAACATTTTGACCACTTCTGTGAATAATCCTGTCTCACTGTAAATTTAAAGAAATGCATGGAAAGTAGTCCCCTCCCTCTCTTTTTTTGGATAAAGAGTAAATAAGTCACTCAAACAACTACTGTCGGCAGGCCTCAAGTGACCCCTAATGGTAATGTTGATATTACATATTAAACCTGTAAGTCTCAGATTGAATCGTACACAAGAGTAGATTGTTTTCCATCTTTTAAGGATGATAATGCTAGGGGTCATCTTGAATTAATTTGACAGGAATTGCCAACTGGGGCAGATACTGACCTAATCTGATGGCACAGAAAGAGAAATTGAGTCCTTCTATGGAAACTGTCACAGGAAGACAACAGTAAAATCTTTGGTTGCTTCTCTCTGATTTATAAGTGTCTACGAATTGCTGCTGTCACGGGTTGCAGAAACACACCGAGTTTGAGGTTGTCAAGTTCGCAGTGAAAGAGGTCAGAACTGCACTTACAGACTGTCATAACCAAGGGGCAGGTATTCCATAGCCTGTTACTTCCAGACAAAAAACCAGCCATGATCCACTTCCTGTGTGTAGTCAGCTGGCCTGGAATGACTTCCGCGCAGCCTGCACAGTCATGCCCGGCTGCGCAGCCCTCGGTGAAACATGCTAAAACTACCTTTCCGTACTACAAGGACGGGACTCACGAATAGGTAAATCATAGTTTACTACTTAGCAGCGTGCACTGGAACTCTTACACCTAATAAACAAAGTAACCTCAAGTAGATTATCTTTAAAGACTAAATGAAATCGGTTCGAGTTGGTTAAAACACTTCCCGAAACAATCCTAATCGGAGTTTAAATAGGGCAGAAATGAGGGCTTTGTCTTAGAGAACATCTCATCTAAATGAAAAAAACCTTTTATTCCAGCAGCAACCCACAGGTAGTACGAGTGTTGTAAAACGACATGACGTATAGCTACAGCTCGGCATGTAACGGCGTGATCAAAGCAAAAAAAAAAAGCAGGGAGCCGAGGAGGGAGAAATTGATAGAAACGGAAAAGGCCGCTTGAAGCTTTGCTGCAAACAGCTCCGGACAGGACCGCTACAAACCCCATTTCACTCGGCAAAACATCCTCAAGACACATATAAGGGCGCGGCACCCACCAGCCCGGCGCCCCTCTGCTTTCCCGCAGCCAGCCCCTCAGACACAACCCCTGGACCGGGGAGAGACAGACCCAAGCGCCCGGGCC